GCTCGTGCGTTGCAACGGGAGACATTGTTACCTCCCTAATATGTCAGCGAGTTTCTTCGGTTTCATCAATGCAGTTTTCCATTCATCTTTATAATTGTTCACCACTTAATTAGCGCATATAGGACAACATATTCCTTCGTTCCTTCTTTTTGCGGGACTCGTTCTCTTCTTCTCGCGTCATCATTCTCATTCCCTACTTATTGATTCACAAGCTGATTTATTGAGTCTATCGATAACTGGTAACTTCAGGAAATATATAAATTTATGGTTTTGGTTCTAAGAAGGCGAGGTGGCACTATTTATTTAATGATAATAGGAAGAGCCGAATTAGTGAGTTGTATTATTTTCCAGACACAACTCAACATAATTTATGTAATTGCAATCGATCTACTCAGAACATATGTTACAAAGAAAACACTAAGTGTTTTGTGTATTTTTTCTACTGCCCAATCAAAAAATATATTGTGACAGGCCATGGCCCAAAGCATGTCGAGCCCAGTTGATTTACAGTGCCTATCACGAGCACACACGCATGCGGCTCGGCCAACGCGTGCAAGTATGTATGCGGCTCGGTAGCCAGCACGCCCGGCCAGAGCACGCGAAGGCGGCGCCTAGCGAGCACACAAGTCGTAGTTCACGCCGCTTGCCTGCCCGCCAGCACATAACCTGCACGCAGCTCGTCCGCCCGCCCGATCCAACTTTAACCAGCACCACGCACCGCTGTGTGTCGCTCCATCCAACCTTATCTTCTCAGCCAGCACCGCTTATCCTCGTCTCCTGCCCAATCCTATGGGCCAGGGGCTGGTGCACCCTATAAGGCTATAGGAGGAGGAAAAGAAAAGGGGGGAAGGGAAAAGAAAGTGTGGATTAGGATTCCCACGTCCTTCCCTCACCCCTCCCCCCCCTCTTTCCTTCCCCTTCATGCATACATGGAAAGGGGGGCACAGGGCAAGGCAGGGCTCCTAGGGGCGGCGACCAACCCTAGGGCACCCCTGGCTGCCTCTCCTCCCCCTCTCACCTATATATATATGGGGAGGGGTCGCCTAGAAGACACGCCAATAATCTGTTAGCCATGTGTGGCGCCCCCCTCCACAGATTACACCCTCGGTCATATTCTCGCGGTGCTTAGGCGAAGCCCTGCGTGGATCAGTTCACCATCACTGTCATCACGCCGTCGTGCTGAAGGAACTCATCTACTTCCATGACAATCTGTTGGATCAAGAGTTCGAGGAACGTCATCGAGTTGAACGTGTGCAGAACTCAGAGCTGTCGTACGTTCGGTGCTTGATCGGTCGGAATGAGAAGAAGTTTGACTACATCAACCGCGTTGTCAAACACTTCCGCTTTCTGTCTACGAGGGTACGTAGACACACTCTCCCCCTCTCATTGTTGTGCATCTCCTAGATAGATCTTGCGTGAGCGTAGGAATTTTTTTGAAATTGCATGCTACGTTCCCAACAAAAAAACACCATCAGAAACTCTTTGCAGCTTTTGCGGTGATTTCTTACTAGTTTTCCGTCAGCCAATTTTTTCTGCTCCTCTTTGGCTTCGATACTCTTACTTATTGAAAATGCTATGGTAGACCCCCTATATTTGTGGGTTATCACTTGTCTAGTGAGATGAAGGCATCAGTTATGAAAGCATATCTCAAGGATGGAGACTCTACTTGGAAACCAAGGACACTGCAGAATCATACCATAGCTTGCCGATTTCTTCAACATCACATCGAGCCTAAACTATTGCAAGGTCACACATTTTCCAAGAATGAAGAATATCCTTGCTCACTCTCCAGCTAAAAAGACTTTCTTTTGTAAATCTTTCTCTAGTTGCTCTACTCGATGCAATTTCAAAAATAGCTTTTGAAGCCATTTCCTTTCCTTTAGGGAAACTCCTCTCTTTACACTGTTTGGGATGTTGATATTAGTAATGTTGAGCCCTCTTTGAGGGCTTTAGTTTGACAAAAAAAGCAGAGGACGAACACTCAATAATGGCTAGAGATAGTGGATAACGGTTATGGTTGTTCGGCGAGCTCCGAAACTTAGTTTGATGTCTCAGACGTCGAGCCGAAGTAGAGGTACTACAAGGTGAGGTAGTCACGTAAGCACACCAAAGACTGAGGTGGAACTCAGGTTGGCTCAAGGCATAGCTTTGCAACTAGAGCGGAGCACGGATATCCAATCAGGGGTGTTTTGGGTTTTAAGTGAAAATTTGATCACTAAATTACTAATCTATCCAAAACTACCATCCAAATTTTAGCTATTTTCTCCAGGACATCTAAAAGAACAAAAAAATAACAATATAAGTTTCCATTATATGATAAAACACTTACTCATTTGGTTTTTGTATTGTAGTGGCAACAAATGTGGGAAGAAGACACATATACATCCAAAGGTTAATAGAAAAAAACAGTGTTTAGTGAAACCAATCGCCAGATGTGAAAATAACATGTTGTTGTGCACTAAGTAGTCCCTAAAACAAATGGTAATACTATGAGGTCCGTCGAAGGGGTAATCACGGAGCAACATCTCAAATTTCAGTGTGGCGATGATGACATGCTAATGTGTTGTGGCCTTGCAGCGAGATCTGCTTTTCGATCCTGGACTAGTGGACATGTGTCCATCAAACTGGAACTAGCATATTTAGTGTAGGTTAACCCAGTGAGATAGTATCTGGTCAAAACCAAGTTGCAATAAGAACTTCGTGAAAGCCGTGTTTGAAAGTTGTAAAAAATTCTCGCAAAAATACATTAAGTCATTATGTCATAACAACTAGAGAGGACCTACGAGAGTTTCACATGCTAGGTTGATGTGGCATGTTTTGATTGGTAATCAGGGGAAGAGAGACCCACCCTGAAATTCGGAGGATGGGGGGTATTGATTAGTGAGGGAAGAAGGGTCAGCCTGTTAAACTTATTAAATCTCTCCCTAATCTTTCCCTAATAATAAAGCACGGATTGACTTCGTGGGTTCACCGTCACAATACGCTTCTTTCCGTGAATTTACGCTTTCAGTCCATATTTTTTCCAAAATCCAAGGTGGTACTAATTGAAGGTGCATTTATTGTATGTTGGCGTTTTATTCGTCGCTCGACTGGGCCGAACCATAATAAGTCAACATATGGGCTTCTCTTCGTCGTTAGCCTATGTGAGCCATCGAGGTGTTTCCTAAAAATTTATGCGTGCATTGTTCGTCGAACGGAAGGAGCTATACGAGGTGCATAGGAGGGAAGAGAGAAGGAAATAATATAGAAGGAGGACATCACTATCGAAATTCTTCATGCGGTCTCTCCTTTATTTATTTATTTATTACTGCCATTAGATGAAAAATACATCAGAACCCACTCCAAAATTAACAAAATTGTCCATTAGATATATCTTTTTTGGAAATTGATCTCTCCTTTAGTAATTAGATTTATTTTGAGAAATTATAAAGTTATTATAGATGAACAATTCCATGAAAAATACATTAGGAAGTCCTCCCCCACTGTCCTACATGCATAATTTCACGTTAAATAAAAAGGCAACTCCTCCTAAAAGTCATTCGTTCAGCCTTTCCTGCTCCACCGAGCCACGGAAGAATCTGTCATGAACTTCCATCAAGGTTTCTTCGATCCCCTCCACTCCAACAATTGATTCGCCTCCGGACTTAGCATGCTCCAATCCATGACAGCTTCAACCCATGATTATTGACGCTGCACATGAGGTAGGGCCATTTTATCTTCTCAATGAAAATTCGACCAAATTTTTTTATGTGCGACTTAAAGAGACATACATTTTCACAAATAAAATGTCGAAGGTGAATTACTGCCAACATCTCTTCCCAAGAATCATGATGGAAAAAGTGACAATTCAAAAGGAATGGATCCAACATTATGTTACTATCGAAATTAGAAATCCTTTTATTTTCATCTATTAAAGAGTAGTACTTCCTCTGTTCATTTTTATAAGACGTCTCAGACAACATACATTGAACTGTTTTGACTTCTGTCTGAAATACCTATGACGTCTTATAAAAGTGAACAGAGGGAGTAGTATTTAAGTACTTGAAGTACTTGGAATCTTGACCAAAAATTAGCATGTATGTACCATTGCTCATAATTCAAATAATATCTGAAAATCCTTTAAATTAGTAATTAAATTCTTGAAGAATATGCTTCGAAGTTGAGAAAATAGGCACCCGACATGAAGTTCTCCCCTTCCTCTCCAACCGCAGCCCTTCTACCATATGTTTATCCCACTCAAAAACTCTTCCACGCACAACTCAAATTCAACCCTAGGGTAGCGGGGTTCTTGAAGGAGGCATCGTTTGAGGGAATGAGTACAATTCTTCACATCTATGGCCCATGGTCCAGATAATGGCAATCCTAAATGGGCCACCGCCAAAATGAAGACTGAACTCCGGTTAAATTCTCCGGCCAAAACATCCAAATAAATCAACCCGTAGCAATGCACGGGCCCTTTTGCTAGTAATAAAGCACGGATTGAGTCTCCGGGTTCACCGTCGCGCACCTTTTGCAAAAAAGCCCCTGGTATTCCCTGGAATTAACCCGCACTCCGTGATGTTCTTCTGCAAAAGACACGATTCGACAATCCCTGTGTCTTCCGCAAGATAACTCGAGACGCCTGGTGTTTGGGTTGCCTCCGCCGCCACGCCCCCATCCCTCCCACACCGCGGTAGGGCAAGCTCCTGTAGGTATGCGCCAAACCAGAGAGAGAGGGATTGAGAGAAAGAGAGATGCAG